TGTTGTTTTTTTAAAAGCTGTTTAAGGTGGCCAAGTGACAGATCTCATCCGGAAGGCCATTCCACAGCCTGGGAGCGATAGCCAAAAAGGTCTTCTGGGCAGTTACAGATAGTCTAGTTTTTATAGATAGCAATACATTCTTCCCAGAGGACCTCAGTGCGCAGGGTGGATTATACGGTGGATTATACGGAACAGATGTCAGATAAAGAACCTTCTCTTCTTGAGCCTCCATGTTTTTGGACTCCCCAACACCCTGAAATTTCAACTTAGGGTGCATTTACACTGTAGACATAATGCAGTTTGACACCACTTGAATCTCCATGGCTCCATCTTAAAGAGCATTGGAATTTGTAGTTTTGCTGCCCTTTTTGGCAGAGAAGGCTCAAGACCTGGTGAAACATGCTCCCTTGAAGTGTGGTGGAGTCTCCTTCTTTGGAGGTCTTTAAACAGAGGCTGGATGGCCATCTGTCAGGGGTGCTTTGATTGTGAGTTCCTGCATAGCAGGGGGTTGGACTGGATGGCCCTTGGGGTCTCTTCCAACTCTATGATTCTATAAAACTACCAATCCCAGGATTCCATAGAATGGTGTTACAGCACTTAAAGTGGTGTCAAACTGCATTATTTCTACAGTGTAGATGCAACCTCGGTGGTTGCCAGACTTTCCACCATTTTGGTCACCCTCCTCTGGATACGTTTCAGCTTTTCAACATGTTTTTTTTTTAATTGTGGTGCCCAGAAATGGACACAATATTCCAGATGAGGTCTGACCAAAGCAGAAGAGAATGGCACTTTGACCTCCATCAGTGGTTGCCAAACTTTCATCCTCCAGATGTTTTGGACTTCAACTCCCTTCATTCCTTACTGTTGGCCTAGCTGGGCTTCTGGGAACTGAAGTTCAAAATAGCTGGAGGACCAAAATTTGGCAACCACTGATCTAGACACAACATTCCCATTGATGCAGCCTAGGATACTGCAACACATGCTGCATATGAAGAGGGGAAAGAACTGCAAGGGCAATTTTTTGGGAAAAGAAATGATGGGAAACCTAACTCCTGCTCTTGGTTTCCTTAGCGAAACTCCAGAAGAAGCTGTCAGACAAAATTCAGGACCTGAAAGATGCCCAGCACCAGAACCAGCAACAATGGTAAGAAGAGGTGGTTGCGATGCTATGGGTTTATTCTGCAGAAGCAAAGAAGGATTTCCTTGCTGGATCAGGTCAAAAATCCATCTGGTGGATTGTCCTTATTTCCTGATTTGCATCCCATCTTTTTCCCAGTTGAGGACTCAAAGCACTCATCGACATTTAATACAAGCTATCAAAAGATTAAATTCTATCCAAACCAGAAAATGTAACACATTATACAAAAATAATTTCCCCTGAAGCAACAAAACCAACAAACGCCAACCTTAGTCATGTTAGGTTTTTGTCGGGTTTTCGGGTTGTGAGGCCATGTTCTAGAAGAATGTATTCCTGATGGTTGGCATTTTCAGAGAATGCACAGATGCAGGTGAAATGTCAGGAATACATTCTTCTAGAACACGGCCTCACAGCCTGAAAAAAACACAAAAACCTACGGATGCCAGTCGTCAAAGCCTTCAACTTCACCTTAGCCTTGTTGTTTGCACTCACGTATTGCAATCACAAATTGTAACTCTTGTACATCACTGAATGTAATGGCCATCATTGTGACATAATGTGCATGTGTATTGCGTGCCTTCAACCACAATCAAAACGATAAGATACGTAACCACGGTGCACAATCTCAATGCAAAATATTGGACACACAATTGCAATGGGAAGTCCAGGATTGGTTGTTATTGCGTGCCTTCATGTTGTTTCTGACTTATGGTGACCCTAAGGCAAACCTAT